TTTTTAATCTGTGTAAAGGCAGGACTGAAAGCAACCCAGCAAAAAGTAATTAGCTATGCTCGGGTCTCAGCAATAACTCAGGAGTCCAATGAGAACCCCACAGCCTTTCTAGAAAGGCTAAAAGAGGCCCTCCAAAAGTTTACCAATTTCGACTTAAGACTTTTACGAGGGACAGGTGATTTTAAAGGACAAATTCTTGTCCCAATGTGCATCAGATATCAGAATTAAGTTACAACAGGTACAGCAGCAGGACTCTGCTGCCTCTCTAGATGAGATGGTCCAGACAGCCACCAATACCTTTTACAACAGAGAACAGGAGAAGGAGGCCAAGGCCCAGGAGAGGGAGAGAAGGAAAGAGACAAGGCATGCCCAGATGCTGGCCGCCCTCCAGGGAAGCCCTATGGCACACCCCGAGCCCTTGAATGACAAGGCACAAGGCAAATGCCTAATCCGTAGACAGGCGGGGCATTGGGCTAAAGAGTGTCCTAACAAGTCTCCTAGAATAGCTTGCCACAAATGCCATCAACTGGGACATTGGGCGGCACTCTGCCCTCGGGACCCAAGAGCCTCAAGGTCAAGCGCCAAGCCTTCCCTCACGATGGTTCAAGAGGACTGAAGTGGCCTGCTCCAGCCAGCCCGCCTGTCACAGATAACCATCATGGGGCTGGAGTCAAGGGTGCAACCGGATGTGGCAGGTAGGTCTGAGAATTTCTTGGTTGACACAGAGGCTACCTACTCTGTCTTGATCTCCTACTCCGGAGCCTTCTCCTCCCAAACCTGTACCATTTTGGGTGCTACAAGAAAAGCAACTACTAAAAGATTCACCCAAGCACTTCTTTGTTGCTGGGATGGACAGATATTTTCCCACCAGCTCCTGGTGGTCCCTGAGTGTCCTGCTCCCCTACTGGGAAGAGACATACTCACTGAACTGGGGACCACCCTTGTGATGGGGAGCTTTTCAGCCCCTAGGGCCCTACAGCTTCTGGTTACGACTGAGGAACCCATCACACCTCCAATAGAGAGAGAGCAAAGACTATGGGAGGACAAAATTAACCCCCCGGTGTGGGACCAGGGGATTCCCGGACGAGCCCACCAAGCTGAACCGGTCATCTTTGTCCTCAGAGATCCCACTCGGTTTCCTAACCGAAAACAATATCCTCTCAAAAGAGAGGCTCGGGAGGGACTACAGCCTTTAATAAAGAAATTCCTTGCTTGTGGGCTATTGGTCCCCACCAGTTCGCCATGTAACACCCCAATCCTCTCAGTAAAGAAAAATGGCGAATGGTTCAAGATCTCTGGGTTATACATAAAGCCGTGGTCCCCCTCCATCCCACAGTACCCAGTCCCTATGTAATCTTGGGAGAAATCCCACCCAGTGCCAAGTGGTTTACAGTCTTAGATCTCAAAGATGCATTTTTTTGCATACCACTGGCTAAAGAATCCCAATATCTTTTTGCCTTTGAGTGGGAGGCCCCAGGAGAAAAACACCAACAGATGACTTGGACAGTATTACCTCAGGGGTTCAGAGACAGCCCCTACCTGTTTGGACAGGCCCTTAGCCAGGATCTCCTAGATCTGCACCTGGGACCTTATGGGAAAATATTACAGTACATAGATGACCTACTGATCTGCTCTCCAGATGATAAAAATGCCCAACAACGTGCAATTCAGGTTCTAAACTTTTTGGCAGAGAGGGATTATAAAGTCTCCCATGCTAAGGCACAGATGGTCGAGACAAAGGTCACTTACCTGGGAGTTCAGATTACACATGGGTCCAGGAGACTGTCCTCCAATCGGGTACAAGGAATCCTCCAGTTGCCCTCCCCCACGACTGGAAATCAATTGCGAGCTTTCATGGGGCTAATTGGGTACTGTAGAATCTGGTTACCCAACTATGGTCTAACTGCCCAGCCCTTATATGAAAGCTTAAAGGGACAGGACGATTCAATCCCACTGATGTTGGGAACTTCTCAAAAGATGGCAGAGGCTATACTGAAACAAGCCTTAACTCAAGCAACCACCTTGAGGTTGTCAGACCCAGAAAAAACATTCCAACTTTATGTCCACGAAAGAGAGGGAATAGCCTTGGGAATGTTAACTCAAAGGTTGGGATCTGAGCCCTAGCCTGTAGCTTACTTATACAAGAGGCTTGATCCAGCTGCCCGAGGCTGGCCTCCCTGCCTTTGAAATCTTGTGGCTATTGCAATCATGATAG